GCAATTGTACAATTCACCATTGTATAATTCGTTGGCCTTTTTCTCTGCAATATTTGAAGTAAAATGTTTGTAAATTGTATAATTAAGTGTATAACACGAAGATATACATTTTTGCATGTGTATATACAATTTTCTCTCGCTTTATACAAAACAGAAACAGAATTATACACTTATGTGTATAAAGCGAGAGAGGCGAGCGAGAATGGAGAGTGGCGAGCGAGATTTTTGGGAGAGAGACGCTGTCAAATTTTAGCTAATGTTTGTTATGGAGCACAATTAAATCAAACCCTAGCTATTCCATTTAATTTAGGTTATTAGTTTGCTATTATATACAATTTTTCCATAAAAATATAATCTTTATATTATTTATGTGGGTTTCTAAATTGCAAAATCAAATATCATATTAATTCAATACATGAATAATTTATCTTCTAACCAGCTATAACATTACTCACGCCTAAGCCAGTTATTAAACGGTCACAATTGCGAAACAAATATCATATTAGTTTAACATACGAATAATTTTACCTTCTAACCAGCTATAAAACGTGATTTTATTTATATAAAATTTAAAATAACTGCTTAACTCGAGTTTACCAAATTATCTAGATTGAAATTAAAGCAGGAATATATTATAGATATCTCTAACTTCTAATATAAAATAAATATTGTAATGGAAAGTTAGTAATGTAAGAATTGCAATGATGAATTGTTTACTTTAATTTATCAAAAAAATTAATATATAGTGTAAACCGTAAAATATGTGTACTTTTTTAAAAAATAAAGTAAAAGTTTGTAATTTTAGTTTTTGTAAGTCATGTATTATAAAATAATACACTATGGATAATTGTGCTAGCATAATGTCATACAACAATTTGAAATCGAAGTTTTGAAGACTTTATTGTAGGGGTAAATACACCATATCAGGTGATGGCTAACAGAAAAAATAAGGCGTGAATGGCACTACTTAAACTACTTTGATTTATAGTAGAAGATGGAGACGTGGGAAGACCGTGGGAATGTAATGACTCGGTTGGTCATTTTTCAAAAGTTATGTGAATTTCACATTTTATCGTTTTTGATATCGATTCGAGTCTTTTATGATTGAGTCTGAAAATTTGATTTCGAACTTTGAGTTAAAAGTTGAGAATTTGATAAGTTTGTGATCTTGAAAGACTAAGTTGCTTAAAAGTGGTTTTTGGAGTTCTGAGTGTCGGAATGCTATTCCTTCAATTCCATCAATCCCTGAATGTGGAATCTAAGCGGTGAGAGTTATCGGTTTCAAATTCAGAGTCTTTTTGGAGATTTGAGGTCTTAAGTTGTGAAATATGAAAATTTAGTCTTTGGGTTGACTTTGGTCAACATTATGTGCTCGGGGTTTTCTTGAATTACTTAAGGCCTAGGTGAGGTTTTGGTTGATTTTTGAGAGATCATGTTTTAACGATTCCATTAAGTCCAAAAGGTAATTATAATTGATTTGCATATATATTTTGTGTGCATGGGGTTCCGAATAAATTCCAAGGGTTCTTTTGATGATTCAAAAGTTGGTTGTGTTTTCTAGTATTGCAGGCCTCCTGTCGCATAAGCGACCTTCGCTTCAGTTAAGAAGACTTCGTATTTGCGAGACTCGAGTTTCTAGCGGGTTTGATTTTACGAACCCTTGATCGCTTTTGCGTTACTTGGGAGGGTTTTTGTTTGTCATTTTCGAGGTTTAAACCCCAAATTATATTCTTGAGCTTAAGGAACCCTACGTGGCGATTTTTTAAACGACTTCTTGTGCTAAATTTGGGTAAACTTTCGTGATCTTAAACCTTCATTTTCCTATGGTTATTTATGAATCTAACATCAAAGTTTGAGATTTTGATTGGTAAATGGAAAAGTTTTTCAAGAACTCAAGTTCTCAATTAAAATGGAGTTCGAGTCCTTTTGTAAAAATAATTTTCCCAAATGAGTTCCTAAAGCATGGAGCAATGTATTCAAAGTATTAAATTTTGAATTCAAACCTTATTTTCAAAATTACATTTTGAGTTGATCGACCTATTTTTCAAATTTTAATTGATTTGGATATTATTGTTTTCGGAGATTTATTGTGATTACGTAATTATTATAGATTGTGTGACTTTGGAAGAGGAAGGCTCAACTCTTGGAGTGATTAATTGTTTGATTTAAGGTAAGTGATCTCCTAAACCTTATATTCTAGCAGAATTCGTGTATTCTTTTGTTATTTGTGTATTGGGAGTAACGATGGTGAGGTGAAGGGTTAATTGTCCACTCTTAATTAATAAAAAGGGGTTAAAACTGAAAAAAGGTTATGTGATGGATATGAATTGTCTTGTTGTTACCCTTGTTGATTGATTGATGAAATGCGTGAGAGCATGAATATGACTTAAATTGTATGAGTTATTGGTTCATTCATGTGGTGTGATATTACTTGTGTGCTTTGACGTCGAGGTCATTGCTATAGGGCCGATGAAAAACGATTTCGGTTATAGGATTAAATAAAGCCGATGAGAAATGGTTTCACCTAGTGATATTGTGCCGATGTAAAATGATTCCGGCGATAATTGATTATTGTGACTTAATACATTTGATTCTTATGTGTGACTTGCTTATTAATTGTGATTGATACACTTGTGGCGCATGATTGATCTATTTGACATTGAAATCGCCTACTTGATTCGTATGGTTGTTTGGTTGTGACTATTGAACTATGATTATTGAGTTTTGTGAGCTGTGCGTTATTGAATTGCTAGGTTGAACTGATTTTTGTACAAGTTGTAATTTGAAGAAGTTTGATCGGAATGTAAAAGATTGTTAGATTCTTAGCTAAATGTCTCGTTTATAAAGTTGTTTGTTGGGTACTGCGTTGTTGGTACACAATAAGACAAACGGTGAGATTGAAGATATACCATGCATCGAAATTCTGCTACTTTTTGTTTTTGATATCCTCCTGTTTGATTGAAGAATAATAAGGATTATTGTAATGTCAACATGAATAATTCACCAACTTTAACTTGTATATCAAGAAGATAAGATCTAGTAAATGTTAAAAGACTCAAATCCTAATACCTACATTTTCTATGAGTAAGGAGATAAATGGGTAAAAAAAATTATCAAAAATTTTAAAAGAGTATCAATTTTTTTAAAAAAAATCAAAATGGTAAAATTGCTCACGATGTAGCGACTTTGGCCGTCTGAAAAAGCAAAATCGCTGCAATAGCAACGATATCTTAAATTTGCTTTTTTTTTTTAAAAAAAAAAAAATTAAAAAATTAAACAAATCACTCCACACGAAGCGACTTTCAAAATAAAAAAAATAATTATTTTTTTATAAGTCGCTGCTACTGCAGCGACTTCCATTGATTTTTTTTTTTTTTTAATTTTTTTCTTTATTTAAAAAAAATTGATTCAATTTTTTTTTTTTAAAAATCATTGGCAGCGATTTTTAATTAATTTTTTTTAAGAAAATCAAATCGCTGTAAAGGCAGCGATTTACACTTAATTTATATTTTTTTTGAAAATTTAATTAAAACGCTGCAAAAAAATTAGCCGATTAAATTAAATTTTCAAAAAAATAAAATAAATTTAAGTGTAAAGCAAAAAAAAAAAAAGTTTAATGTAAGTCGCTGCAAAAGCAGCGACTTATTAAAAAAATTATATATTTTTTTTAATTTTGAAAATCGCTCCACTTGGAGCGACTTGTTTAAATTTTTTTTTTAAAAAAGGAAATTTAAGAAATCGCTGCTACAACAACGATTTTGCTTGTAAAAAAAATTTGGTATACTTAAATTTTTTTACTTTTTTTTGAAAACTTAATTTAATCGGCTAATTTTTTTTGCAGCGATTTACTTAAATTTTTTTAAAAAATATATAAATTAAGTGTAAATCGTTGCCTTTACATCGATTTGATTTTTTTAAAAAAAAATTAATTAAAAATCGCCGCCAATGTTTTTTTTTTTAAAAAAATCAATTTTCTTTTTTAAATAAAGCAAAAAATAAAAAAAATAATTTTTTTTAATGGAAGTCGCTACAGAAGCATCGACTTATAAAAAAATATTTTTTTTTGATTCTGAAAATCGCTCCATGTGGAGCGATTTGTTCAATTTTTTTTTTAAAAGCAAATTTAAGATATCGTTGCTATTGTAGCGATTTTGCTTTTTCAGAAGGCCAAAGTCATTACGTCGTGAGCAATTTTACCGTTTTGGTTTTAAAAAAAAATTGATATACCCTTTTGAAATTTTTGATAATTTTTTTTACCCTTTTAACTCCGCACTCCATTTTCTATCTAGCTTTATTATATATTAGTGAATGAAAAAGATAAAAAAAAATTAGTGTATGATTAATAACCTCTACCAACATTCTTTCGTATTTAGAGTGAAATAAAACAAGAAATAAATTTCATTTAGATTAAGATAAAGATAAATTAATAGAAAGGTTCATGGATGGAAGCAAAAAGAGTTCATAATACAAAAGTAACAACCACACATTACTTCTTCCGTCTACTTCTAATTGTCCTGATTTTTTAAAATCCAACGAATGATAAAAACTTTGATCAACATGTTAAAATTACAATTTATATACTATTCATATTGTTTCTTAGTATCTAACTTTTTTTTTTAATTTAAAATATCAAATTAATGTAATCTAATTTAACTTTAAAAATAATTGAAAATTGATTTTTTAAAAGCGTAACATAACAATTAAAAGTGGACGAACAGAGTATCAATAGATGTTGAATTTTTTTGCGGAGATGATTAATAAATCTCCTCAAACTCCAACCAACCAATCCAATATATATCTATATATATATATATAATCGATACAAAAATTCAAAGAAAGAAAAAAATATTTAAAAATTGGAAAAAGGATCAAATATTCTCTTGTACAAAAAAAAAAAGAGTTTAAATATACCACCTGTAATATTTTGATTTAAGTTTGGCCCAAATTTGGCTATAATTGAGGACACAGGACAACATGTTCTAAAGGAAGGTACCCCTTGAAGTTTAGCTTACCAAAACCTGCCTAAATACAGAGGATATGAATTTTCTAGTATACAGAAAACTCTAATTTAACTTCTTTTTGTTTTGGGTTTGGGGAGGATGACGAGACAAGCTTGATTTAACCTCTGGTTTCGTTTTTTCGCTAAACGAATCTCAAATGAAAACAGGAAGACTATATCATCCTAAGTGGTGATGGACGATGGTACCTTTGTTAGAGAATATACAGCAGGTTAAATAAGGACTTAATTTCATTGATCTAAAGATGATGCAGACATGTATTGCTGCTGGTTTTAAGAGACGGACCGTCTTTTGAAGAGGACTTTAGGTTGTTCATCCATATCCTTCATGAAAGTACTGCTTCTTCTCTACTCTGCTCTTTGGCTTTCCTCCTGTTTGATTCGAGAATAATGAGGAGTGCTGTAATGTCAGCAGGATTAACTCCACCAACTCTACTCGCTTGCCCAATTGTTTGAGGCCTAACCTGTACATCGAGAAGATACAATCATGGTAAATATTAGGCAACTGGCGAAAGACCCACCCTACAAACAATTAACCACAATTCATTTTACAACATCTCAAAAAAGAAATTTTAACAAGGACAACAATGAGGCACAATATGTCATCTTTGTACAGAATGATCTAAACCATTGAGCTTGTGAAAACTGAAAAGTATAAGGAAATAAATAAAAGTTTGTGTGCAAGAAGAGTGCTGTGCTATGCAGATGAGGCAGAGAATACCTTTGACAGTTTTTCACGTGCTTCGAGTGATAAAGTAGTCATTGCATAATAATCTATGTCCTCAGGAATTGGTTTGTGCTGCTGATGAACCATCTACAAGCAGAAAGTCGTTGCAGCAAAGATATGAGATACTGGTCCATTAGAGATGGAGGCTTTTGAAGGCGAAGATGAAGGATCAAAAAGACCAATGAGTGTGCAGATACAACAGAATCCCCTATTCTAGTTCTAGTAAATTAAGCCTATTGCATTACTGTTTACCTGTTGAAGTTGGCTCTGCTGGCGTACAATGAAGCCTTCATATTTGATATCAATCTCTACGCACTGTTTCTCCATTCTGGACAGAGTGCAATTTCCAAACCCATGCTTATCAAAAACTCCGTATTGTACATGTGGTTTCTTAAGCAGGCTCTCTAGTGTTGATGAATCCCTTACTGGCTGAGCAGAGAGAAGAGTAACTTCAGCGGCCAACTCTCCACCTGGAAGCAACAGAAACGGGCTGAGTTTGACAGGAAATGAATGAACAAAAGACTTCAGATATTTACTTCTACAATTATAATTCCTAAGCATAAGTAATAAGGTTATCACAATATTGTGTCACCAACGAGCATAGGGACGACGGAAAGAAACAACGCTCACCTGAAATTCTAACTGCTTTCAACCGTTTTTTCTCCTCCATGATACGAGCTTGCTTCTCCTGGTACATCATCCACCTTCTATCATCTATTAAGCAGATTTCACGACCAAGTGGGGTGAGACGGCTATCCGCATTATCAGACCGCAGAAGCAGACGATGTTCTGAGCGGCTGAAGGCATATTAGACTATTAGCAAGTAGAATTACACAGACAGATAAGAACTATCATATACAATTAGACTATACTTCTTAGTAAGGTTAATAACAGGTTATGCACTTAGTTATCATAAAAAGGATTAAAGATCTACACAGAAAGATGAGAACTATCATAGACAATTAGTCAAGATTTCTCAGTAACGTCAATAACAGGTCATGCGCCTAGACAATAGGTTTTCATTTCTTTTCCTTTCTAAATTTCTTGGGGGAAGGGTAAAGGGGAAGGTCCATTATCCACTGAGTTCTGAACCTTGTGCCACAGGGCCTCAGGTCTTTCTCAGTTATTAGGAAAAAAAGGTTGTCATCTTCCAATAGAAGTAGAGCCAGACTCATCTCTGTGTTCTTGGTTTCCTAACGTTATAAGCCCCCATGTAATATTGTCCATGCACTAAATGTCTAACACTGGGCGTGCGAAGTGTCTTCCATTGGTAGAGGGAATTAGGAATGGACTATTGTCCAGTTCTTGGACAATCTTCAGATCATAAGGTATCTTGCGATTGAGTTAGGCCCAATATCCATTATCCTCTTATATACTCTCGGGCACGTGGAATTCAGTTAGGCCCATCAGAAAGAAATATATTGGATTTTCTGTGTTCAATGACATGTATTAGTCCATAAGCAAAGATAATTTTTTATAAGAACTTTCATGCAATTGGATGAAAAAATGAACATATAAATCTATACATCAGTCAGTAAATACTTCTCAAAAATAAAAAATAAAAAGTTGGTAGGAACGCAACAGCTGTACTTAAAACATGAAAAAAAAATACTACACCAGCAGGCAAATGGAACTAATCGGTGTTTACAACAACGCCAAAGGCATAACTATTTCTTTAATCTTTTTCTTCATTTTGTTTCCCCTCATGCATGTCTTGCCCAAGCATTAGAGTATTGAGGTCTACGAACACAAGGAAAGATAAGATGCGCTGTGCTTACAGAAGGTCCAGAGATAAAATTGGTATTTAATAATGATGACGAATAGCAAATGGCTTGGCCAATAGCAACATGGAAAGAGGAGAAGGTAAAAATGTACAAATCTAAGGGCATAGAGCAGCACAGAAAAAGAAGGTTGTCAATTATCCACAAATGGTATTATTGCTAAGGTTATATCACTGGTCAATGCTGTTAAATAAAGGTTAAACAGAAAATGACTTAAACACAAACAACGTTCTCTTAATTTGGACAACAATGCAACCACGAGAATATTGTGGTTTCATCAGCAAACTTAACAGTAAGCAAATCGTAGCTATTGCATGTTGCATAATCAAAAGGAAAAGAGATCATAGCTATGCCATGACCATTCTTACTTCACTTTACCTTGTTAACATGCGATAAGGCTCTCGAAGATCTTTGGTTACAAGATCATCAATCAGAGTCCCTATAAAACTACTTTCTCTCTCAAGAACAATAAGTTGCTTTCCATCTGAGTGTCTAGCAGCATTAATTCCAGATATGATCCCCTACATCAGGAAAATTTACCAAAAGAGGCTTAGAAGACCTTATCAGATAATAATCATAACTGTTAGTTAAAAGTAGGTACTAGTATAAACATTCCTATATCTTTGGATACATAGATAAAAATACAGAAACTGAAGTGAGCATCATTGGAATATAAAAACCTGGGCAGCAGCTTCTTCATAGCCTGTTGTCCCATTTATCTGGCCAGAAAAGAAAAGGCCCTCGATTTTTTTAGTCATTAGGGATCTGGAGCACTGATAAGCAGGCAAGTAATCATACTCTACAGCGTAGGCTGGTCTCAGCATTGTACAGTTCTCAAGTCCGGGTAATGTTCGTAAAAGTGGCAACTGTAGTCTCTCCGGCAAACCAGTAGAGAATCCCTACAGATAAATGAATCATTACATTGTGCAAATAGCAAAAGGAGCGTTTTACACAGCAATACGGTGGCATACAGCATCAGAGTGTTTCATTCCAAGAGAGATGGAACTAAGAAGATGAATTTTACTTCAAGAAATTAGTCAGCAGAGAGCTTTAAGTAGACTACATATCTTCTTACCAGCACATCTCCATCAATTCTTCGAAAATGACCAAGTCATAACAAATTAAAATAAATTTCAAGGATATCACTAACCGGCATAACCTTAGCTCTTTATACTGAGAAATAGGTAACAATCTTGAACACAATAGATTTAAAAAGAGAACCACAAAAAGCCAACAAGACCCAAACACTGTACACTTCTTCAAAGTTCCAAGTAAAGCACCCATTTTTTCGGAAATGCAAAAATACCTAACATGTATGGATTTAGCACCTGTAAATCAAATTACTGATTTCAGCGTCTAAATATAATAAATAAGAATAACAGCTCATATTAAATATCGTTAAGGGAGTGATTGATATGACCAAGGATGGTTTTCTTAATCTGTTCTCTTGATGAAATGTTTATGAGTATTTAATTACTTTGACTTGTTGAAAATGTTTACCACCCTTCTCAAAAAAATGTTTCTCCAATAAATTTTTCTCTCAGTTAGGTCACATAAGGAAAATAGTTTCCTTGAAAGGGGAGAAACCTAAGGGTTCCTTTTACAGGGAGAAGTTGCAATAGCCCTTGCTTCCCTTGCACAGTTCAAAACTTGGTGGATAACCCTTAAACATTGTTAACTTTGCCCCTAATGTTCTTTTTTCCCCTCTAACATTGCTTCTAACATTGTTATTAACCATTATTACTAAAATATCATCCAAACATAGTCATCATACCCAATCATCCACCTTTAAAAGCTTATCATATGTTAGAACACAGCCAAAAATGGGAACATGACGTGGGAAATGATTTCCCAAGGTAAAACATTTTCACCAAAACATTCTCTTTGATACCAAAAGCATCCTGTTATGTAATTCAACAAGGTCACATAAATGTTGATCCCCATCGCAAAATTAAATTTTCGACTAAATCATATAAAAAGAATCAATCAGTAACAAACAATTTATACTCAATTAATTACTCTGGTAATTCAAAGGTTTGAAGAGGAGTTGCATGATAAAGAGACTCACTTGTAGAAGATAAATAAGAAGTAAAATTCGAAGTAGGCAGAGAAAGGTACCAGTAGGAAGGCCTTGTAAAGCTGAGAAGAAGAGAACAAGGAAAAAGAGTGCTAAAGCTGAAGTTTTTGTGTGTGTGTGTGTGGGGGGGGGGGGGGGGATTCTTAGGACTTAGAACTCAAAAGGCAATTGATAACACTGCTTCAATGTAAGGAATTTGTACAATAAACAGCGCCAGATTGTAGCACCATTACAGTCAACGAAAAGCTTTTTTCCTCCAGTAAGACAGTAATTATATTAACTCAAAAGTGGAAGCAAAACCAAAGAGTCAGCAAACCTGCACGTAGAGCTCAGGGACACTTCGACCCTCCGGTTCAAGGAATATTTGATGAGACTCTTTATCTTGGAATCTTACAATCTGAAATAGTCAAAAAGATAATCATACTTCACGTGGGAGAAATAAAAAGAAACTAAGTTCTCTAATCTGGAGCCATGATATTTGAACCAAGGACTAAAATTCGCCACAACATACTTTTTTACAAGCAGGAAATTACCCTCCACTCCCTAGAAGAACTATTTGTAACATTAGCGGATTCTAGTATCAGATGGAATTAATCTTCCCTCCACTTACTTTCTTTTTCTTCCAATAGCACAGGGTGATTCCAAGTTACATAATAATTACTAACTACTAACAAATTTCAGTTGGTATAAATTGCCTCCCATTGAAATATCAGGATATAACTTTTTTGCTGGGAGAACAAAGAGGGACAACATTAACACTTCATTGAAATCATTGAGCTATGTTTTCAATTAAGAGTATATGATTCCAAGCTTTCATGCTTGGGAAATAGTAAATAGTAGCCCGCTTTAACAATAGCACCCTCTTATCAGAGTATTTGACAACAAAGAACACCACCCTTGAAGATGAAAAAATCCGAAGTAACAACTTCTTTGTACTTGATTTGAAATTGCCATGCAAATATAAATTTGTCTCTAGAAGGAAAGTAAAGTTGGAAAGAAGATTAAAACTTTCCGTTTCACAATTTTTGGTTAAGAAACATGCAGCATTCTCACATCAGTAAACGCAAGTGTTCTGCGCATTAGGTGATATTAATAAGAAGATAGAGCTAGAATGGAGAATGTAGTATGAGATGCCTCAGAACAAGAGAGAAGCTTCATATGATGCAGCATCATACAATACCTTATCCTCAATGGAGGGGCAGTATCGAGGACCCTTAGCTTCCACCCAACCTCCATAAGTAGGAGTTTCATGCAAATTATCTCTAATTAGCTGATGAGTACTCTTTGTGGTACGTGTAAGGTAGCAACACATTTGTTCCCTTTCTATATGGTAATTAGCATCAAAACTGAACCAGCTTACCTGAGGATCAATGATAAATGTTAGAACATATGAATGTAGAGGCATGGGCACGTATATATCTATATAAATTGGTGATAAAGAAAATTTGATTACTTTTAAGTGAACCTTACCAACAAATACATAGCACACTTTCAAGGGAATTTCAACTCTCCAAATCTCAGACCCTAATGAGATAAAATGAAGGCAACAAGCAAAATAAAATCTCTACAAGTAGCTACTATCAAGAACACATGCCCCTTCACGATGTATATATTGTTCTCTACGATCTACCCCAGAGGAAGAAGAAGGGGGGAGCTGGACATCTTGTAACTTGTATTCTATAGCAGATAGCACCCAGAAATACATGCTTGCAGTTTCATATTACATATAAAGTTGCTCATAATAAATTGGTTTTCTCATCAGACAATCTTAACATCTATTATTATCAGTAAAAATCAAGAAGTAGGACCAGGGAAAAAGAGTATTAGATATCAAATTGCAGAGTACTTCTGGAGGAAATCCTAAATCAAATCACCTATCAGAGTACTTATAGAGGAAATCCTAAATCAGATATAGGCTCAGAGAGAGCCAGATCATTTCGAAATGACAAGTAAGTTTCTCCGTGAGATAACTCAAATAAAGATAGCATGAACTTGCAAGTGATTCTCTCTTATACAACATACTTGATAAACAAAATTCATCTAGAGGCATCCACTATTTGTAACTCACCACAAAATACATTGGCATAAGTAATATGTTATTGGATTGCACAAGTAGTCCAGCATGGTTAGAAATCATAGATACAGTTAAGTCTACAGAACCTACATATTAAAAATAAGCAGAAGGACCTCTTCATCTCCATATTGGGGCTCCAATCCTGAGAAATCCACAGTACGAGAGTCCACACGCGCAGGGGTTCCAGTTTTTAGCCTATCAGTTTCAAAACCAAGGCGCTGCAAGTTTTCTGTTAGACCAACGGAAGCTGATTCACCAGCTCTTCCAGCAGGCATTGAAGTTCTACCAATCCAAATTTTCCCACTCATAAAGGTCCCTGTCGTCAGAATCACTGACGGTGCATAGAAGTTCATTCCGAAGAAAGTACAGACCCCCTCAACGTTGTCATTTTTCCCCAACAAAATATCTGTTACCATTGCCTCTCTGATAAAGAGGTTTGGGGTGCTGGAAGTAGGAGCAATAAGTTAGGCTCTGAAGATGTGAGGGCCACCAATATGTTTGGGATACATAATTTCAAGAAATACACTTGCGAAGTCATGCACCAATGCATAAGGAATTAATAGAATTTCTCTTAGCTAAGTTTTCAGGTAAGTAAATAGAAGTTTATAGCTTAGCTCAGTTTCCTTTGTATACACAAAAAGAAAAAGAAGAAACAAATTAATTTAGGAGGAGACAAGAGAAATGGATTTAGTTCAGCTCAAAATAAAAGGTGAAAATTACATCAGCACAGCAGTAATCCCAGAAACCTGAGGTGAATATTTTCGTAGCACTTTGCAATGTAATAAAGAAAGATGACCATCATACCCCAAAGGACCCAAGCAGTTCAACTTCTTGAAGGGTACAGGTAAATATATTTCAAATAATTTGTTAAATGGAGACATGTACAACTTTAACTGAGAAGTACATAAGATTTGCCAGAAAGAGTATCCAAGACGCCAGTCCCGTGTTTGTAACATTTTTAAAGCATATAAAGTATATATTATAACTAGAAATATAAGTATCCGAGATGTCAGCCTAGTATATAAGTGATTCATGAACTGCAATAGTGTGGACGATAAAAATTACTAAGATCTATCTTTATCTCTCCAAGAACAATAGATCAAAGCTTAAGAAATACGTACATAATCATACAACAGAAGACCTGTATAGCACTCATAAAACACTTATTTCACTGTGTAGGTCAAAATGAAACACAGGAAAGTGGTAACAACTTACTCATGAGCACAAGTCATTCTTGATAACAACTGTACTCTATTTTGGGACAACTAACTTACCTCTCAACAATCTTTTTCATTTCTAGAGCATATTCTCTCTTATCTGTCTGTGCACGTAATGCCCAAACAGCAGGGCCCCTAGAGATGTTAAGAACACGTTTCTGCAAATAGCACCTATTGAAAAAAGAAGCTTTCATCAGTCTTCTGAATAATGATAGGTGGATTCAAGAAAATATAACTCAAAGAATATCTACCATAAAAAAAAAGCCCAGCTATTTTTTTCTACTAGATTTATCTCGCCCCAAACCATCTCCAATTTCTTGGAGAACTTATTCCAAAGACATTTTCATGCTAGCAAGCTACTTTGTTCATTGTTTTCTTTTTCCCTATTCGGCATCTAGCATAGTTCTTCAGTTATTCTTCCTTCCAGACACACATAAATTTGTAAGCCTGCAGGCTTTTATAGTATTCTTGCCCCCTATTTTTTTCTTAGAACTTAAAATTAATGCCAAATCATTAGTTTCCTTTTAAAAGACAAACATGGTTTTGTGTCCTATTTTTTGGAGTTAAAAAAATGCTTCCAGTGAGCTGATTAACAAAAAGACTAGATGATTTTTTCAAGAGCAACCGGAGTACTAAAGTTTACCTATCAGCTATTTTTCCAATATCACCACCCAATGCATCGACTTCATGCACCAGCTGAGACTTTGCAGGTCCACCAACTGCGGGATTACATGGCTGCATAAATTTTTATTAGTAAGACCACAATCATGAGATGAAAGCAGATCCAAATATAAGAACCACCTTGGGTTGGAACTTAATAGTCCTTGAATTATAGCTTAATGGAGTTCAGACAACAACCCAAAAATAAAAAGAGAAACATAAGCCTTTTCTGAAGCGAGGCTCAAAACATGTTATGCGCTTCGCCTCGCTTTATGTGCACTTTTAGTGTCATCCTCAAGGTTCTAAGGCAAATTTTTCCTTGCCAATGAGCCTTTTCTGAAGAAGTGACACAAAAAATTGATATTTAATTTCTTTGGTCATGGATTTGTCATTCGTGTTTATAATTATTAGTCTTGGACTAACATATATATTTGTATACTTTTTCTCCCTTTGCGCCTTTTTTCATTAAAGAATGCGCTTTATTTGCGCTTAAAGCCTCAACGGACCTTAGAGCTTTTTTGCGCTTTCGCCTTACTGATTACACTGTCAGCTTTGTAACACATGAAAGCTCATCAGAAAATCAGATGAGAGCTAGTTTGAGTCTCTCACTCCTGGATGGTGGTTAAATCAAAATTATGTCTTAGCTGCTTAAATGATCTATTTAAATACTCCATAGCAAATACAAAGAGATAAGGTGACATTGGGTTCACTTGTCTTAGTCCTCTTTTGCTTGTAATGTAGGTGTAAGATCACCATTATGGATAAAGGCATACTGTACTGTGGTCACACACTCCATTACCAAATTCACAAACTTTAGAAGAAAGCCAAACTCAAGCAGAACCACTCTTAAGAAAGCCCACTTAATTGATAAGCTTTCTAATATCTGCCTTCGCTATGCATCCGGGAGATACTCCATTTGAGAGTCTCCTTTGATCAGTTCATGAGCTATAATTGCATTGTCAAGAATACTCCTCCCTTCTATAATGAGGAACCAACCAAGCAGTCCACCACAAGTTAAAGTCTGGAAGCACCTTAGCTATCAGTTTGTAGACAGTAGTACAACATGCAATGCGTCTAAACTCTTTGACATAAGTAGGATTGGGAACTTTGGGCACTAATGTCAATGTAGTAAAGTTCATCCAGTTATGACCTTTCCAATTTCAAAGAATTGTAAAACAGCTTCCATCATTTCCTCCCCTTTGATTCCCCATGATGATTTAAAAAACTCAACTGGGAAGTCATCAACACCTAGAGCCTTGTCAGAAGATAAATCTTTGAGGGCCAGCAGTACTCCTTCCCTTCTTACCTCCTGTACCAATTGTCTTTGATAATTAGGTGTAGGCAGGTCATATCTGGCTATTGTTATGTCAATACTTGGCAATGCAGTTTCATTTGTTCCCAGAAAGCCTTTGATGAACTTAAGGAACTCCTATTGCATCTGTAGTGGATCATTTAACATGTCTCCAAGCTCACTACTGATGTTAGATACCTTATTTTTGGCCTGCCTTGCTGTCATAAAAGCATGCAAGAACTTGGTACGAGATACAAGTGGCTTTGGATGTTTCTTTTTTTTTTTGATAAGGGACTTTGGATGTTTCTCTTAGCACCCTCTTCTGAATGTTGGACCAGTCTGCCAACTGAATTAACAATTCTCTATCTTTACACTGATTAGTTCTGGATTGAATATGTCAGACTGGAACTGAGCCCAAGTAATCCAAAGCTGCTCCGGTAATTCCTCAACTCTCTATCCAGGCTAGTGATGTCTCTATTCATTTGGCTAGCTTAGTTCAATCAGTTGAAGTTTCCTCCATACTCCATATATAGTGTGACAGGGTACTATGAACCACCTTTTGAAAAGCCTGCTGATTAAGTAGTTCAATGTACAGTCTGAAGGGTCTTGGGATCACAAATTTACAAATTATCCCTTGGGAAGCAGCAATCCAAGTCCTTCTATTCCAACCTTTCCTTTTTTCTTTTCTTTTTTATCACTTAGTTGTAGAGTTCCTTCTTGTCCAACTTATTTGCCACTTTGTGCTTATGGATTGTCAGTGTGACCATTTTGTGGAACTAATTGGTATAAGATCAATTCATTCTTCTAAAATTAAAGTTAACTAATATTCCTACTTCACAATTTTCCTCATTTAAAAATTATAAAAGAATACTGCTAAAGAAATGGACCTAAGCCCTAACTCAACCCCAAAAGCTAGCACATGAGGTAGGATTTGCCAAGACCATATAATAAGACCAAGTGCCCGTTATCCCACCGGTGTGCAACTCCAACAAATACAACTTAAAACATTAGTAATAAATAAACACCAATGAATAGAATGTACATTGCTGATTGCACGCAATGGAATTAGTCCACAAACCAGAAAAGACGAGTTCCTATTACCTGCCATGCGATGCGATCAATATTAAGAGTAAGAAGCAGTGTTTTTGCCCCTAATCGTGCTGAAGCAAGGGCAGCTTCACATCCTGCGTGGCCTCCTCCCACCACAATCACATCATATCTTTCATCACCCACCTCAGCATAGCTACTCGAGCCTGCCAATTCTTTTTATTATTCATAAGATGTTTTCAGCAGAAAACATGATTAAATGGAACTAACGAACTGTCTAGTATAGATTATTAAAATGTTTGCAAACTATCTTGTTATGAATGAGGCACAAGATAATAAATTTGGTGAAATTAGACTCATTAGAAAGAGAATGAGGCCCAAGCCTCCACCTTTTAAGCCGTCAAAATACATTTGGGACCAAGGAGCATGTGCACTATGGGCGGCTATATATACAATCGGAGCTATGAACTTGCATCGTTATATTCTTAGTTGTTTCATTAGACAAAATCTGGAACCTACACCCTTCTTTATTCTCCTCCTATTTCCAATCTATGGTGTAAGGAAGGAGATAAACTCCTACATCAATGTGTATGACTACACTTCCCCATATCAATCCAGTTTTCCTTCACTATATCTTCACATAACCAACTAATTAATCAGCTTAACAAAAGCAATAGTTCTAACAATCAAGAACTAGTTTTGATTAATGATGCAGATTCATTTATACTCACGAGAAAGTTAATAGTCCTTTTCTTTAATCAAATTGGGGGTAGGGAAATACAAGGTGGGGAATTAACCTCGCCAGCAAAGTGAAAGTTTACGTAACCAACCAAATACACAAGGTCGTCAAGTTAAAATGATAACAAAATCATTGCCACTGATACAAGTTTTCATGTAGTTCTTAAATATTAATACTGATGAATATGTCAAATTGGGATAAGCGAGAGAATATTTCAAATTGAAAGTATAACTTCTTTTGTTTTGCCTCAGCATTAATAAAATGAAGAATTCTGTGTTTCTACTTACCATTCGACGGAGAACTGGAAGCTACGACGGTGAAAGGCCGTCTAGAGGAGGAGTACAAAGTGCATAAGCTACCGGAAAACTGGAAGCTCCGGTATAACCTGATAAATTGACTGTGTTTACGAAGAAATGGAGAGGAAAAAGAGCGAGGAACTTGAGAAGCGAACCGGGTCCAGTTCAGAGAAAGAACAGTCGCCATTGAAGTTCAGAGGTGTAAAGCTGTTGAAGCTGATATATATGAAGAGATAAATTTCTTTCGAAATACCCCTCTATTTTGTTTGAATTGCACCCCAATGTTTTTAAAACTACAATAAGGTCCAACCTCCTTAGGGGTGTGCATCGATACGGTTCAGTTCGATTTTATGTATTATCGATTCGGTTTATCTGTTTTTGTTTTTTTTTAAATATGTTAAATCAATAATCAAATCAATAAAATATTTTTTTATCAATTTTTGGATTAGCGGTTTTGGTCCATAACGGTTCGATTTCAGTTTAACTAATAAGAAAATACTTTTAAACAAATATATGACTTTTCTAATAAATTTGATACGAAGACATAATAATGTACCTTTACAGATGCTCATAAAGTAGAAACAATAAGAACAAACATGAAAAGAACTATACAAGCGTAACACAAAGAGAAATTAAGAGTAATATGGTTAATGTGAAATTGTGAACTCAAAGTCACTGTGAAGTGTGAATTGAAGGTTAAAGGACAAAGATAGTAACTATTAAGGTATCAAGATCAATTTATACGACACTTAACTTGGTTTCAGCGGACAACTATGTTATCCAACTTTGAGTATGCACAAATAGACAATTAAACTTGTATAGAATTGAATAAGTACACACTCGCATTTGAAATAATTAAACCCTTGAATTCATATTTGAAAAGGCGAATTCAGAGGAATCATAGAGATTGTAACACTCGAATTTGAAATAATAAATCGATTGTTGCTATAATTTTCTGTTCCTGATTATTGTTTTTTCGACGCGAATTTTATTGTCTACAACAACTAAATATTTAGCTTTTATATAATATAGACTGAAAGTTTATTATTAAGTTAACTTATAATCTTAAAACTCATGAAAATTATATATTTATGAAAAAAAATAATTTTGTTTATACATCTAAACAGAGTGTTATATCTTTAATTAAATTATCATGTATATATATATACTTATTTTTAGCGTCAAATTACTAATCAAGACAATACTAAAAAATATTGTTCATGGAAAAAGTACAATCTTAAAATAAAGTACAAATAATTGTTCAACGACAAGTGATTAGATATTTTCTAGATATGCAAATTTGAACAACTAACACACATTTTCTTATTAATAATATTTTCTACGTATGTTCCAGTTCGATGATTAATTTAGTCTATACGTATGATTGAGCAAATAAGCAACTTTAGTAACAACACATATGATTAAGTGTAGATCGAACTACTACTAACTGTGTGAACCAATAATCCAAGTAACTAAATGAAAAGGATTATAGCAATATGTTAAGTCAAGTGAGAAAATCAAACTTCACAAATTCAAAAGGTAAAAGTCTAGGCAAGGGAGAAGAACGAAAAAAATAATATATTTGGAAAATAATGATGATATCATGAAAAACTAACCTAGTGTCACGACCTAAAACGAGTCGTAAGTGACACCCACACTTAACCTCCAAGGTGGGCGAACCAAGATATCCAAACCCCAACATATACCTATAATTCAATCAGGAATAACAAAAATATTGTGGAAGCTCCAAAATTTATTTAAGTAACCAATCTGATAAACCTCTAAAGTTTGTTACATGTTATTCCCAAAATCTGAAAGTCATCACATCAGAGGCATCTAATTTTCAAATTCTAAGTCTAAGATGATTAAGGACACCAAAATAAATGAATAAAATAGTTTATGTACGAAAACTAAGGACATCTGGCCATGACCAAGAGAATTCAACACGCACATGAATGAATAACTCACATTGGAAGCTGATATGCTGGAGATTCGCTAGAGCTGAGGTCGAGTCAAAGTCGCCGATACACTCGTTGCACTCCATAAAAGGGAAACAAAGAAACACACAAGTAGGACTCATACGGGGCAACATGTACTGAGTAAATATCATCGTCCAACTCAAAATAGTAACTAATATACAAAGAATAATAGTATAAAATCAACTATAACACTTAGTAGGTGATACACAACAAACAAAATGAAAAAAAGTGAAAATTGAAGCAAGTTCGTAGTCAGTTACAATATCAAGCACACACGAGGACTCGTGCCTCCACACCACACTCGTTGGGGAAATGGGTTCTTTGAGATTGAGTACATTAAATTAATTAAATATCTTTTTCCTTTAATGTTACTGTGTCGGAACGTGACACTCTGATCCAATTATACGTGTCGGAACGTGACATTCGATCCAAAAATACCGTGTCGGAATGTGATACTCCAATCCAATAATACCGTGTTGGAATATGACACTTCGATTCAATAATACCATGTCAAAATGTGATACTACGATTGAAGAATACTGTGTCGGAACGTGACACTCCAATCCAATAATACCATTAATTTATCATTTATTATCATCACTTCTCAATTCATTGATAATATTTCATCAAGCCTTTTTTATTCAAGACATTACTTCGATAGAAAGGGTTTAAAATTATAAATTCTACTGTCTCAGAATTTCAAACCAATCACAAACCACATATGCACCATATGCCCAAACATACTACTCAAACTTTTCTACCCAATAACACTTTCATTCAATAGTTAATAATTAGTTAATCATTAGCTAATAATGGAAGATATAATTTCTCCCCTAAACCCCACAAACATACGTTACAACCCTTTCAATTTCTTATTTAACCAACATCGATAACAATTTTCATCTCCAACTTATAACATTAACGTCTGATGCCTTTTTCTCTCTTAAAATCCCTATCATCCAATTAATAACACATTATATAACAATAATAATAATAAAGATTAACGACACCCAATTGTTAATATTCATAACATAAACTTGCAATTGAGTTGAATTTTACCCAAAGTCTTTCCTTCAACCTTGTCCGAGGTGCTAAGAACCAAGAAGAAGAGGCACATGTGGTTTTCGTATAATCAAATAATATTAACCCTATTTATTATATAACTGATTATAAATATGGTAATATATACCAACTATTAATTTTAATGTTATTTTCTAGTTTAACTACTACTAAGTATATTATTAAAACTAGGGAAAATTGTATATAATAGCAAACTAATAACCTAAATTAAATGGAATAGCTAGGGTTTGATTTAATTGTGCTCCATAGCAAACATTAGCTAAAATTTGCCAGCGTCTCTCTCCCAAAAATCTCGCTCGCCACTCTCCATTCTCGCTCGCCTCTCTCGCTTTATACACAGAAGTGTATAATTCTGTTTCTG